AAATATTTGCTGTTAGTATTACTAGAGAGAAATGGGGCGCCTGCGTGTAAGGTGAGTAGGGAAATAAATGCAACACGATTATAGTAATCAGTCATTAGCGAACACTGTAGTTCGTTATTAATAATTATGTATAATAGGATATTGTAAAAATTAAGTTACAAAATTTTTATTAAAACATCCCTTACATACCGTTATATTGGCAGGGCTGCAAAAATATTTATTGTGGGCCACGAGTTTGACATGCTTGCCCCCCTAGCGGTAGCCGATTTGGCTCAGTAAATAGAGCATCAGCCTGCAGACTGAAGAATCGTCTGGGGTTCAATTACAGTCAAGGGCACTGGGTATCGAGTGGGGGGTATGCAGGAGGCAGCCAATCAATGATTCTCTCTCATCATTGATGTTTCTATCTCTCCCTCTCCCTTCTTCTCTGAAATATATATATAAAGCCAATGCTTTAAAAAAATTATGCTGAGAGAGTGAAGTTATTCACAAAGGATCACATGTGATTTCATTTATGTGAAAGGTCTAGAATAGGCAAATCTATGCACATTCAATAGATAAATTGTATGGTGAATTTTATCTCAATAAAGGTGTTATAAAAAGTTACAGGCCTGAAAGAAGAGATGACTCCATAGTTTTTCTTAAACACTTAAATACTTTTTTCTCAGTCATTGATTATCACACCACAATAGCAATCAAAAATTAATCTTGTTCAAAATTTATAATACTTTTTAAAATCAGTAAACAAAAACTTTTCTTTTTTACATAGTATCTTCACTTCTGTTTTAAAAAAATAATCTGTGAATACTACAATAACAAACACAAAGGAAAGTTTCAAATCTCTGGGAATCCAATTGTGTAACATTTACACATTTAATCTCCTTTTTTAAAAAATATATTTTATTGATTTTTCACAGAGAGGAAGGGAGAGAGATAGAAAGTTAGAAACATCGATGAGAGAGAAACATCGATCAGCTGCCTCCTGCACACTTCCCACTGGGGATGTGCCCGCAACCCAGGTACATGCCCTTGACCGGAATCGACCTTGGGACCCTTGAGTCCGCAGGCCGACGCTCTATCCACTGAGCCAAACTGGTTCTGGCCACATTTATCACCTTTATGATTTGCTTGATAGCCCCTTACATTATTACATATTTTTCTGTGTATCTCATTCTAAGCAAAGTACAAGATATAATTTCCAAAAATTTTTAATTTTCATCATAACGTAAACATAAGTCAATCTGCAATGTAAATTTTAAATGTAAACATAAAGTAAGAGGCTTTCCATACATATATTACCTGATCGATTCCCCTTCCTTTGCACTGAAGAATGATGACTTCAAGCAGTTTGGCTGCATGACACTCTGCATCTTCTCCTGCATCTCCATATAGTACCTGCCGCAATTACAATTAGCTCAGCTTCATCGAGTCCACATGAAGCAAATAGCCCATAAAAATTCAGCCATTATACTCATAGCTTTGCTTGCTTTTAAGTTTACCTTGTCAACCCAAAAAGGAAAGGTTAAAGTCCATCTGCCTTCTTTACCCTAATTCCACATAAGGAGTAAAAATTCACTTACTTAATTTTGGATTAATAAAGTGGAATGTATGAGTTAATTGTCTAGATAAATGAAGCATCTCTTTAAAGCACTAAAACAATAAAATAATTTTTTAAAAAAATACTTTCCTTTTAAACAATAAAACAAACCCTGAATTTTTCCAGTCTTTTTTAATTCTTTCTATATACACCCATTTTTTCATAATAATCATCATAATTCAATATTGTACACTTTTAAAGGTTTCCTGAAGAGAATTTGTAGAGGCATGCTTACATTAAAAATTAAGAAAGATGGAAAAATTAATGAGTTCAAACACAACACATAAACTTAACCCAAAGAATAAAGTTGACACAGAAATTAAATATATAGACAAAAAGAGACAACAGAAACAAAAACAGATTCATTGAAAAAAGACTTAGACAACTTTTATCTTTAAAAATTATTTTTAAAAAGCAAAGAAAACCAAATAATAAAATATTAGGAATGAAAGATATAAATACAAATAAAGGAGAGATTAAAAATAATAGAGAATAGTATGGGCAATGCTCTTTATTTCTTTTATATTTGAAAATTTAGATGAACTGGATAATTTTCTTGACAAATACAATTTAAGAAAACTGAATTAAAAAGAAATTCCAGGTAAGGATAACAGAGTCAGTACTTCCATTTAATTTTATTCCTTTCCAAAAGGCCATTAAAATGATAATAAAGAAATTTTAGAGGCATACATTCACAAAGATGGAGAAAAAGAAGAAAGACAGCTATAAAATGTTGGAAGCTAGAAAAGAGATGGAACAGTAAGTTGAATAGTAAGCAGGTAACTGCCAAAGCCAAGAATCAACTCTATTTACATAAACCTAAAATTCTACCTCTAGGGCAGCGGTT